CCCCCCCCTCCCAAAACCAAAATTTTATTGCAGATTCGGGGTCCTCTCACCGAGCGCAGAACGACCCCGGTTTCAAAAAATATATATGTATATTTCTGGGCGGTTTTTTGGCCCGCCCGGTCGGGCAGGCCCGGCCGGGCAGCGTCCTCACTCAGTAAATAAATGCTGCCTGTAGTCGAAACCTGAGGCCTGGTGGCCGTCGTGGGCCTCCAGGGCACGTGTCTGATGGGCACGCCACCTGGGGGGCCCTCAGCAACCATCGGGCCCCTGAAATGGGGCCCGGTGCAGGCGCAGAATGTAACACCACGGCTGAGGTGGTTGCACCCCGGGCACATGCTGTGTGAGGCTGACACATCACGGAGTGGTTAGGGGCCAATGAGGAAGCAGAATCGTCGTCACACATCTGCCGCGAGCCAATGAGAATGCTGCAAACACTTGAAGACCGGGTCGCTGCCTGGACGTGCCTAACTGCACGAGGCCCAGTCCAGTTTCGGAAACTGGGCCTGGGCGCAGACACCTGGGGCCCAACTGAAGCTACTGGGGCCCCCTACACGCCTGGCCAGGACAGCCAGCAGCGGCACACTTTGAGCCCCTGGGACAGGCATTCTGGCCTTGGCCGGCAATGCGGACACGCTGCTGCGATGCTGCGCTGGTGTCTGCATTGACCTGCTGGGCAGACGCGCACACGAGCACTGAGGTGAGGGGTGCTGCTGAGGCAGTGGGCGCATAGCAGCCATAGCCGGGCTGCAGGGGGGCAAGGCAGGTGATGACGAGGGTGGTCTTCGAGTAGGAGGCACATGATGTGGCGAGATGAGGGGTGACGACGAGAGGAGAGAAAACGTACCTGGTGTATGCTGGTGGTTGGCATTGGTGTTGAAGTCACTGACATTGGTCTTCGACTTCGGTGTGATCATGTCGCATGAACGTAGATAGATTAGATAGGCTGAGTAGAGTCGGCTGCGGGCACTGAGCGCCAGACGGTAGGGGCGACATTGGATACAGTGCTGGTGTGACCAGAGAGCTTTGGCATTGGCACTCGAGTTCTTTGTATTGCTCTTATTTGGATGGTATCTTGATGAATTTGAGCTCTCTGCTTGGTATATGACTATCTGCACTCCTTCGTGATTTTGCAACTTAAGGTTTTCTGTCTATCGCTCTCACTCATATTCCCTGCACCAGAAGAAAAAAAAAAAAAGGCACCATTTCATCATGGGCTAAAAAACAGTAGCAGGCAGTATTTGAGGGAAAAGGCACCGTCTTCGCCCAAATACAACCCATACTCATTAACGCTGTACTTGCCCAGAAAGATGGCTTTTATACATTCGATGTCAGGGTACGTTAAGACGGTACTGTTGATAGGTTGGGGGAAGTTAGCCTAGCCTACCATCTTCACCCGAATAGAACGCCCGGTTAGCTGCATTTGGCCCAACTTTCAGTCCAGATGCAGTGATAATGACTGGGCATTCTATTCGGGTGAAGACGGTAGTCCCAAGTAACCCACACTCACACCAGAGGAAACTGTGAGCAAATCCTCTCCCAGGACAGCAAAAAAAAAAAAGTGGAAAAAAAGGCTGAGAGAAAAACACACTAAAAAAAGGCTGAGAGAAAAACACACTTACTTGAAGATACATTGCTGCCAGAAGCGCTCCATAGTGTCCCAGTTGTCCACCTGTTCCACAAATTTTCGCAAACGGTGTCAGACGGTCCCAAACAGTCGCAAATGGTCCCAAACAGTAAAGTCTTTGAAAGTGTGAAGCAGTATTGTTGTGCACTTTGGCGGAAGGGGTCGTCTTGATTCGTAGTACTGTCGGCAGGGGTGGGGGGTGGCTTTTATCCATCCGCAAGAGAAAGGGAGGCGGGAGTGTGAAGGGGCCGAGGGATTTATATGTACGAGAAGTGGGCGGGTGCAGGTGTCACACAAATGGCCGAGCGGCTCGTACTTGGGGGGGGGGAGGAGGAAGTTGTATAATGGTCAGGAGGAGGAGGAGGAGGACAAAGGAACTCGCAAAAGATGGGGAAAAAAAAGTTTGTTGCAATGTGCTGTACCAGACCAAAGCCTTTTCACAGAGAAGACCCATCAGCCGAAGATGTAATCGAAATGTGTCACAGAAGATAGCTACTAAGGTATAACTTAATACAAGTTTATACCCCATTGCAGCGAGAACCGCAAAAGTTAATACCTAAAGAGTTGACTTTCTGCAAACCAAGGAGTACGTGACACTAGAGCACTCAAGATCACTCGTCCTGCTCACTCTCATCATCATCACACCCATTCTCCTCCTCCTCCTCCTCCTCCTCCTCCCCCTCCTCCTCCTCTTCCTCCCCCTCCTCCTCCTCCTCTTCCTCCTAAGCAGTAGCCATAGATCTGCACATCTCAGCCCTCCTCCTCCTCCTCCCCCTAAGCAGCGGCTATAGATCCGCACATCTGAGCCCCAAGTCCTCCTCCGTGCCAGCAGGGATACGAACCGGTGACCTCGGCCTCCAGAGGCAAGAGTATCTTAACCACTAAGCAAACATTAGCACTCAGTCTGATGTGCACTTGAGGAGGGACAAACTCTGGGTGTGGATCATCGACTACGCCTGGAGTATTTTCAAATTTCTACTTCGTCCTTTAACCCGAATTGCGCAGCACGCCCCGGAAGTTGCGGCTAGTAAATTTGCCCAGCTGTTCATTTTGCCTGGGGCGTGAAGCGGTGGTTTAACAGAGGAGGGCAAGAGGAACATTTTTAAGTTGCAGCCGCCAGCTGTGATGATAAAAGATTTGACTCACCCATAAGCTTCACCTGCTGTTCGCAGCAAGGAGATTAGGGGGGGGAGAGGGGGGGGAAGGGATTAAAATTTTAATTAAAAAACATTACACATAAAAAAGAGGTCCAAATGCAAGGAACCCCAAAACAAAACAGGTACAGTCGACGGAAGAGAGATGAGCATCATTTGGAGAAGGCCGTGATGTATGTTCAGCGTTTTTTGCATCGATACCAAGTTCAAGGCTATGTATGAGAACCACACCAAACACAGCTCTAGTCAACAGGCAAGGCTGGTTCAAACTCACAGCAGCAAGGCTGGTTCAAACTCACAGCTTAGTAATCACCATTCACGTATCTCTATCATTTCAGGCAAGGCTGGTTGGTCTCGTCTCAATGTATGCCAGGTTGGGATCTGAAACTGCACGGTAACTGACCTGCCCATGTCTGACAGGAAAACTCAGAGAGTGCGTGTTAGCTCGGGAAAGAGCCTGCAAAAAAACAGAGAAACTCAGAGTTAGATGTCCCGAGTTTGCAGACAAACCAGGAAAAACCCAAGACCCAAGAGACCGACTCAAGAGTTAGATATAAATACTAAGTTTACTTGCAGACGAACCTGAGAAACTCTCAGAGACAAACTCACAGACAAAGCGGTGGAGAGTCGGGGCTATTCTCGAGCTGTCATTTCTGCGACCTCTCGGATATTTTACTCACTCTAACACAGGATTTTGTCGTTGTACTTGGACTTTGATCTCTATGTGATCGTGTTGTGATTTCTCACCGTCAGAGACAAACTCAGAGACAAACGCAGAGACAAGCGCAGAGACAAACTCAGAGACGAACGCAGAGACGAACGCAGAGACAAACGCAGAGACAAACGCAGAGACGAACATCCTGAGTGTGAAGGAAGACCAGACAAAGCAGAGACGAACGCAGAGACAAACTCTGAGTTAGAAATCCTGAGTTTGCAGCCAAAACCAAATGTGTTGTTCTCATCAACAGACAAACACACCCACATGCAAAGTCGGAGAAAAACTCAAAGCCGGCGCTCAGAGACGAATCCAGGATCAGATGAAACCACAAGGTTTATCCGAGGGCAGAAAGGGAAAGCAAACAAGCGCTCTAACGGCCATAAAGAGAGGCATCACCACCATTTTTGAGAGCAGAAGCATGTGTGTGGTTACCACCATGGCATACAATTTTTTTAACGCAGAAGCACATGCTTGGTTAACACCACCGCGTACAAATTTTTGAGTGGGTGCATGGGATCGACAACCCAACTGTCACGGTTTTTTCTCCTCTACGCAGGGGTTGGCCTGATCTTCAGGAGGTGGGTGCGTTGGTTTCACATACGCTAGTTAGTTCTGGTTTAGGGCATACTCGGACAAGGCCTCTCGTGGATGTATCTGACCGGAATTCCACCTTGACCTGGATGTACCTGACCGGAATTCCACCTTGATTTGGGTGTATCTGACCGCAATTACATCCAGAGCTCAGTCAAAATAGTCCAAATGTGAGTATGCTTTCAGGCATGGAAAGAGGGGGGCAATCAGGTTACCAAGCCACTGTCCAACAGGCATTCAGCTGTCAAACTCCAACCCAAACACACTCAGTCAGATCACTAGCTGACGGAATCAAATATAAATTATATAATAAAAAAATAACGAGGGGGTGTAAAGGAGGAGGGGGGAGGGGGGAGGCATTGGCCCCTAAACATTATTCTATTTGATCTAACTCCATCAGGATTCAAACTCACGAGTTGTTCGCTAACACGTCACATTGTGTGCAGACATTCAGCCACATATCGACCATTTCGTCAAAATGGACATTTTTTATTTTTTGAACGAAATTGAAACGGAGTTTTTTGGCCGAAAACTCGTCAAAATTTGCTGTTCCTGAGGGTCCGGCATTTTGGCCAAAAGACTCCGTTTTTTTTTTTGTTTTTTTTTTTTACAGGCAGGACCTTACGGTCCTGGCTCCTTCTATTCTGGGGAGCGTCAGTCCGGTTCCTATTCCACCGGCAAGTCAAAATAAAATCAACAAGTACTTTCACCCACACTTCCTTCCGTCTGGCCGAAGGACCCCTGGACAGCATTGATTGCTCCACCTCAGTGGAGGATTGACTGCCAGMTTGCCCRACCTCTCTCTTTCCTCTCAGACCAGACAAATGGGTCTGCCAGATTTCATCGCTAAATCCTAGAAAGAGTCCCTCTATTGTGATCATCCACCCGAGCCCTTCCCGATCCACTTGTTTTTTCTTTTTGCCTAAGCAACCGTTAAACCCTGACCCTAAACCCTCGTCCTTCTTAACTGCGCCTCGATATAACATTCCCATTCAAGGATCGCCTTCCTCATTGCTCGGGGACTCTTTGCTTTGACCCTTTTGCTTCCCTTGATCACCTGCGTTACCAACTTGCATCCTGTTCCCCTCCGCTGTAGATCAAGAGCAGAGACCCGMAAGCAGARCTGACTCAGTTAGAATCCGAACTGRGGGTTCCGCTCCCTGATACTATGCTTTGCTGTTCCAGATTTCTTCTTGAGACAGAGTTGTGCCACTCCTTCCTCCATATGGAATCATACCTCATCTCAGCAGCCCTCCCTCCTGCCAACCATGACTTGATGAACTTGTCTCTAGCCTTCTTCCGCTGCTCTTCGTCGTCTGTCCCTTTTCTCTTGGTCTTCTTCCATCTGCATAGGATTTCTGCCTGTATCGAATCCTTAGTCTCTACCCAAACTCTCTCCCGTGCGCTTACAGCCTCCTCAATCGTTCTGCTGCATCTTACCCTCCATATGACTCAAGGGAGGTCTTACTGGTGAACTCAAACCCGATCTTTTAATGTTTTCCGAGGCTACTTAGGGATGACAATCAAAGGAGAAGTTAATTTTCCTCACTTTCCTTTAGCCCTCCTCCCTTTCTGTTCCCTGATATCCTCATCCCTCCTCTCTCCATTTGAAGCAAAGCTGTACGCCTCTGGACTCTGCTACTTTCCCCTGACCCAAAGTATTCTGTTTAAATTTTTTGATTATTTCCTCCTCTTGCCCAGGGTGTTGTCTAGCTTGCTGTCTCACCCTTTTCCACTGTGCGTTGAGATGTGATTCCACCATATTGAGGAGCAGCTCTCTAGCTTCCTCCCTATGAGTTAATGTACCTTCCATAGTTGCCTGACATCTCCTTTTCCAAATGGTCCACAGTCCATATTGTCTCAGCAGTTGAAAGATGAGCCTCTGGTAGGGCCATCCTTTGGGAACCCCGACCCCCAAAAGAATGGTTATCTTTGACTCTGGAAAGGCTATCGTCACTACCTGTTTCCAGATCCTCCTAACTTGTTCCCACATTTCTTCTGCCTCCTTACATTCCAGTAGACAATGCACCAGAGTTTCCGGAAGCCCTTCTTGGCACACCCTGCAAAGCTCCGCTTCCTGATTTCTCTGATTGAGKCTTCTTCTTTYGTTGAGCCACACATTCACTGGTAGTGCCACGTGCGCTATTAGCCATTGCATACTTCTAACCTGCCCCWGTCTGATAGAAAGGATGCTAGACCACGGTATGTCAGGCATTAGGCTCCTGGGGATCCCTACTTTCTTCTCCCATCGTTTGGTCAGAGTGTGTCCCATGGACCTGGATCTGTTCCTCAGTCTATACCCCATTTTTGTGGTATATTGGAGAATGTTGATTCTTCTTGCTACTCTTGACTGTCCATCTCTAATGTTCCAGGCCCATTCTCCARGATCGACCTCTAGATCCTCGATTGGTACTGTTGAACTGTATACTGTATAATCATMCATCTCTATCACTCTTACCTTCTGTAACCCTTGTTTGAGAATATACAATGGTGCTTTGGRGGACTTGTCCAGTTGGGAAGTGGTACTGCTCGGCTGTTTTATGTCGTATTTATCAGCTACTAGCCATTCATTCCTATCTTTGTCTGTGYCCCACACCCTGAAGACCTGATTAGGTTCCGGATCCTCCTCCCATGTGGCCCAATCCCCCTCTCGCCATTGCTTTCCCTCTCTCAGCAATAGTACCCAGGTTGGGTGTATGGAGTCTGTGACTGTTCTCAGATTGTCCTGAAGATTGTGGCACCCCTTCAATGCTCTCCTCAGTTCACCTGCTGTTTTCCACCGCTTGTTCTCATCATCCCAAATATGTTTGATCTGCCATATCCCATGCTCCACCCATCTGCCCCATCTCGAATCCTTGCTCGTGAGTGTTAGAGGTTTTCCGTCRCCRTCCCTAATGCAATTATTGCAGAAAATCGGTTGTCTTAATACCTCCTCCCTTGTAGTAGGTTCTCTGACCCTTGCTGGGAAGACCTCCTTCCACAGCTGTATTAGTTGTAGCCAATACGAGGGATTTCTAGCCCTCCCACCTTGTGCATCCCTGTTCTCCTTCCTATRGMYCACTTWAGCCCAGTTGCTACACATGATCCAGAACAGACCCGTCATATTGCCGGGTGTTTTGTACATAGCTATCTGCCTGATCCTTTCCAATACTAATGAAGTCCAAGATAACCTGGGCTGTGAGATTAGCTTGACCAGCCATTTTGTTTGCAAAGCCTTCAGCTGTAGACTTGGGTCTAGGATGCCTAGGCCACCTTGACCCTTGGCTCTAGTTACCGTTTTCCATGCCACCTTGGTTATGAAATGCTCCGTGTTGTGCTTCGCTGTCCACAAAAAGGCTGCTGCCTTTCTCCTAAGCTGGGTCGATGTGGCCTTGGGGGGAGTCCAAATTGACCCCCCGTACCACATCATGGAAAGGATCGATGAAAAAAAAAAAAAAAAAAAAAAAAAAACTCCGTTTCAATTTCGTTCAAAAAATAAAAAATGTCCATTTTGATGAAATGGCAGTTATATGGGCTGGGGGATTGCCGGTAGGAGAGACAGACGCAGCTAAACGGACTGTTTGCAGGAGAGACACACGAGCCAGCAAGTTCTCAATAGATCAACACGCCCTCAATCGTCAATGTACACCATACATGGAGCCGCCACTCCCTATTGGTGGAGTGTAGGCGAGGAACGACTACGCGTCTCAACACAACAACACCCCCTGTAGAGGGCTCCGCTTACTAGAGGGCTCCGCCAATAGGACACACTTGTGTATCCTGTTCACTTTTTTGAAGTCTCCTTTTCAGGGAATGGTTCCTGCCTACACGTAGAGAGCGGAACCCTCTACGCGGCGTGTTGTTGTGTTGAGATGCGTAGCCGTTCCTCGCCTACACTCCGCCAATAGGAGTGGATCCTCCATGTATGCTGTGGGATTGAAGAGTGAGGGTGTGTTATACGATTGAGAATGCGGTCAGTCGGGTACCATTCCCTGAAAAGGAGACTTCAAAAAAGAGAGAACAGGATACACAATAGTGTCCGATTGGTGGAGCCCTCTAAGCAGCCTCTCTAGCTCATCAGGAGGCGGGGAAATTGAACCGGTGCGAGGATGGATGAAATGATGTTTTTTAAGCTTTTCAAAACAGTTTGGAAAAAGAAAAGAGAATCCGACTGAAAAAAAAAAAGAAAGAAACGTAGCAAAAACTTGCAATACAAACAACTTCTGGCTGAGGGACACCTCAACATTCCCTCAGCAAATTCAAACAGGGGGCGGGCACCACGAATCCATAGGCGCTCGGTCGGTAGGGTGAGACTATCTAAGCAGTGGTTGGCTGCTTCGACATCTACCTACTCCGTACCCTCTGGAAATAAATCACACTATGCGCGTGGGGGGGAGGAATTAGCGCCAGCTACACTCCATAAAACCCTCAACCCTCTTTTCTGGACCCCTGCCATCTCCCAATGGGTTCAAAACTAGGAACAGGCGCGATCAGCAGACATCTAGCTGAGCAAGAACCAGATGTTGCACAAGATCCTGTTTTCCAAACAAACAAAGGGGTGGAGGTGGGAGAAGAGGGGGGGGGAGGAGGAGGGGAATCAGCACCAGCTACACTCCGTAAAACACCCTCAACCCTCTTTCTACCCCTGCCATCCCCCCATGGCTTCAAAAACAGGAACAGGTGTGATCGGTGGACAACGAGGTGAGCGGGAACCAGATGTCACACAGGATTCTGTTTTCCAAAAGAACAAAGACTGAACAGCAATACAAACAACTTTGGCCTTGAGGGTCAAGGCCCTGCACATTGAAAAAAATAATAATAAAAGAAATCCTCACTTCCACCAAGGTGGGGGCAGGAAAAGGAAAAAACGAAAAAAATTCAATAATACACACTCCTTGTACGTTGTAACCCCAACCCCCAACAAGCTCCATACCTCCCTCCCTGCCCACAGCTGCACGCAGCCTCTTTATTGAGCCCCAACACATATAATTATTGAAAGCAAGCCCAGAGATGGCCTTTACTTGACCAAAAAAAAAAAAAAAAAAAAAGACTGAACAAATGTTTCCCTGCCTGGGCCTCTCCAAGCCATCTGCTGGAAAAAAACAAAACAAAAGAAAAAAAAAAAGGAAAAAAAAGGGTTAGTTGCTGCTGGATGTACTAAGCAGGTGAGACCTGTCAGGCCCTTCCAAGCACAAAAACCGGCCCAGATACCGACACAAGCGTAAAAGTTAAATAGCAATCGACTTAAATTGTTTTTTTTTTTTTTTTTTCTTCTCCTCATCAGGGGACAGCCATATATTTTTCTCTCACCTCACATTTCTTTCTTTTTAACTGGCGTTCTTCCATGTCATCATGGAACATATCATTCTTTTCATTACCTACCTACCACTACTCCTAAAGCTATACAGGGCACCCCTGCAAGCATAGCTTTCTACCTCTCTTCGGTGAAGGGAGGTTACCTCTCTCGGTCGGTGGAGAGGGGTGACGGCATGTTTGCCCCTTTTGCCCTAGTAGCGTTTAGGGTGCAGGGTTGGGGCCGCCGGTGGGGGCCCGGCTAACACAAGGACCGAGCATTTGCCAGTAACTGTGCCTCCCTTTTCATCTTCCCCCACCCCCATCGAGTAACAGTAATGTCTAAAGCCAACACTCTCCCACACACCACACGCAACCCACTCACACACGCACTCACACCCGTGTTGGCTGAAGACCTTACGAATACCGACTGGGAGGATCCAGCTGACTATCTCAGTTGGTTGGCACCAAGAGTGCTACAGGCGGCCATGAGGATTGAACCCACGACCTCCTGAATGCCACTTGCGTGCCTCCCTTAAATTGATTTAACAATAACAGCATGTTTAATAACTTTAATTTAAATAATCATTCATTAACTAATTTTATCTATGCAAGCATGGTAAACGCCGGGGATTAAAAAAAAAAAAAAAAAAAATCTTCTCACTAGGAACTGGGCTTGTTTAACCCGTTTTGCTACTTTGGCTGACCAAAAAAACACCCTTACCTCTTCCCCGACGTAGAAGTCAAGATCTGCCATCACCCCAGCACTGTGCAAAGAAGCAGCCGACATACTTAGTGGCTTTCCGCCCCGGCTCCCGCCCATCTGGACAAAGTAAGAGTCGTTAAGGGCAACAACTGTCGGAATGATGAAGCACGGCTCCACGTTCCCGGCAAAACCCATTTTTGTGTACCTGGAAAGACCCAAGGAAAAGGAGGAGCAACGAAAAAGGGAAACATGTGAGAAGCTACTGCGGGCTACCAGAGTGGCCCGGGACCACTTGCCCGGCCGGGCCAAAAAAAAAAAAAAAATCAAAATTAAAAAACAAATTACTTTCTTTTTTTTCTTTTTTTTTTTGCTAATGGATTTCGATGTGCCCCTGAAGCAAACGTTATTCAGTTCATTTTTTCTGCATAACAAACTTTTTTTGCAGACGTTTTTTATGTTTTTTTGCTGGGACCTACTTTGGCCCTTGCACGGCTGGGGCCACCCGAGAAAACAAAGTCACCTGGGCGGCCCGGCTGGTAGCCTAGGTGAGAAGTACCAAAAAAAAAAAAAAAAAAAAAAGTGAAAGTGTGAGGAGTGGTATCCCTAGAGCGCAATGCTCCAGTACTTAGCAAATTGAAACATCGAAATTTTGATTACAGTTTGACTAGCTAACGGAAAACACATCTAAGTGTGCGTAGCTAAAGGAAAGCACGTCTAAAGTGAGGGTAACTAAAGAAGGACAGCACATCTAAAGTGCGGGTAGCTAAAGGAAAGCACATCAACCAAGAGGCCGTCAGCAGTGCCCCAAGAGAGGGAAGTGTCTTTTCAATTTTCTATTCTCTCTCTCTCTCTCTCTCTCTCTCTCTCTCTCTCTCTCTCTCTCTCTCTCTCTCTCTCTCT